AAAGCAAATGGGAGTGACAACTGACTTAGCAAGCACATCTGCATTACCTACAAAGGGGCACCTGATGAGATGTAAGGCTTATCTGTTTCATACAACTGTGGGAAGTCTCAGACTCGAAGGTGCAAGGTACTGGAGTAGGCAGAGATGAGGTAAGGCACAGGGCTAAAAATAGGGTTTGGTGGACAGTAGACATAAAACTGGCAAACATCCTCATCTTACCAAAAATGCCCATCTTCTAGCAGGAGACTGGAGTGTTGTTTTTTTCTCAGAAGAAAATTAACCCACAAAAGCTCTGAATTTGGAGCTACCAGGCATGGTGGTGATGGTGGAGGAGTAGAAACAGGAAGTTTACATGAAATCTTCATTTTTAATGGTTATAACCCCATCCCCCTTTTATATCAAATTCTAGAAGGCCAGCAGTCAGGCAAGAAACTTGGAGATGATTTTCTCATGCAGCTGAATAGCCTCAGAGTAATGACTTCCTGAGGCAGACACAATTCACAATAATAAAGCCAAGAATCAACAACTCTACTCAAGCTAAATTGCTGATCAGTTTAAGGTCTCACTCATAAATATGAAGTCAGAAAAGCATCACCAGCTATTTGAAAAAGCCTTCATTGTGAAAGTGCCCAAAACAAATGGGAAAAAAATTTCTGGAGGAAATAGACAATTCGAAGAACAGGAAAAAAACACACATATATTACATTACTAAGTAATATTACTAAAAAGAACAAGATATTATACAAAGGATCAATCAAGAACAAGAAAAATCTTTTCAGCATTAAAGGTAGGGTAGTACAAAAATTGTATAAAGATGTTGCTATTTATGCCAAGGAAATTTCACAAAAAGGCAAAGAAATAAAAAAGAGTAGAGATCCTGGCTCCGCTGGATTGTCATCCTGTGCACCAAAAAGTTGGAAGTTCAATTCCTGGTCAGGGCATATACCCAAGCTGCAGGTTTGATCCCTGTTAGGGGTGTGGTTAAGGCGCATACAGGAGCCAACCAATTGATGTTTCACTGTCACACCAATGTTTCTCTCTCTTCCTATTTCTATCCCTGCCCCCTTCATCTGTTTCTAAAAAACAAACATATCCTCAGGTGAGAATCAATAAGAAAATAGTAGAGGAATGAGTAGCAGATAATAGGCTTTATACATACAGTCCAAAATCCAAATAATAGAAGGTATAGGGATAAAATGGAAAAGGAAAGGAGATAAGAAATAATGCACTTCCAGGAAATCCAGGAAGCCCAGAGAGTCCCAAAGAAGTTGGACCGAAGGAGGAACATGCCAAGTCACATCATCATTAAGTTACCCAAGATTAAGGATAAGGAGATAGGACTGCCACCAAGATGGAGGTGTAGGTGGAAACACTTTACCTTCTCGTACAACCAAATCTAAAAACAAAGGTTTAGCAAAAATAAATGCAGCTAAACCACAGAAAATTGAACAACACGGGAGTCTGACAATAATGAACCACTCAGCTAGACCAGTAAGAGGGGCAAAGCCAGCAGTGGAGCGGGTTGGGTAAAAGACCCCCCAACTGTGACAGCCAAGGGCGAATCCCAGGTGTGGGGTAGCAATGGGCAGACCCAGTGAAGGTGCAAGGCGGATGGCTGATCATGGTCACACATTTGCGCGCAGATAAACCAGTGAAGAAGCAAGCAGTGAGGCAGACCGGGCAGGCCCCGGTGGTGGGAAGGAGCAGAGGGCACTGCTATTGCTCCCTCTCTGACCCTGCCCCCACATACAGTGTCACAAACCAGCGACCTGGGTGGCCCTACCCTGGTGAAGAACTAAGGCTCCTCTCATACTTATGAGGCACAAACAGATCAAAACATGGCTCAAGGAGACCTCAGAGCCCCAGAGCCCATAAATCTAAGTGAACAAGAAATTGCCAATCTATCAAAGGCACAGTTCAAAACACTGGTGATCAGGATGCTCACAGAACTGGTTGATTTTAGCCACAAATTAGAGGAACATATGAAGGCTAAACTAATTGAAATGAAGGGAAATGCACAGGAAACCAATAGTAATGGAAAGGAAACTGGGACTCAAATCAAGGGAGTGGATCAGAAAGAGGAAAAAAATGACCAAACGGAAAAGAATGTAGAAACAAGAATTCAAAAAAAGGAGAGGCTTAGGAACCTTCAGGACATCATTAAACATTCCAACATCAGAATTATAGGGGTGCCAGAAGGGGAAGAGGAACAGCCACCAGTGGAAAACTTATTTGAACAAATAATAAAGGAGAATTTCCCCAATCTGGCAAAGGAAATAGACTTCCAGGAAATCCAGGAAGCTCAGAGAGTCCCAAAGAAGTTGGACCCAAGAAGGAACACACCAAGGCACATCATAATTATATTAGCCAAGATTAAAATGAAGGAGAGAATTCTAGAGGCAGCAAGAGATAAGGGGACAGTCACCTACAAAGGAGTTCCCATCACACTGTCAGCAGATTTCTCAAAAGAGACCTTGCAGGCATGAAGGGGCTGGAAAGAGGTATTTCAAATCATGAAAACCAAAGACCTACAATCAAGATTACTCTATCCAGCGAAGCTTTCATTTAGAATGGAAGGACAGATAAAGTGCTTCTCAGATAAGATCAAATTCAAGAAGTTCATCAACACCAAGCCCTTATTATATGAAATGTTAAAGGGACTTACCTAAGAAAAAGAAGATAAAAAAGATGAACAGTGAAAGGAAAGTCACAGTTACTAAGAACCACACCTAAAACAAAAGCAAACTAAGAGAACAGCTAGATCAGGAGCAGAACCATAGAAATGAAGATCACATGGAGAGTTAGCTATAGGGGAGTGGGAGAAGGGGAAGGGGGGAGAAGGTACAGAAAATAAGTAGCATAGATGGTGGGTAGAGAATAGATAGGGGGGGCAAGAATAGTATGGGAAATATAGAATCTAAAGAACTTGAGATACATGGTCATAAACTAAAGGGGGGGAATGGTGGGGGCGGGGGGTGCAGGATGGGGGGAATGAAGGGGGGGAAATAGAACAACTGTAATGGCATAATCAATAAAATATATTTAAAAAGATAAGGATAGAATCTTAAAAGCAGCAAGAGAAAAGGAGACAGTTACCTACAAAGGAGTGCCCATCAGACTGTTGGCTGATTTATCAAAAGAAACTTTGCAGGCAATAAGGGGCTGGAAAGAAGTATTTGGAATCATGAAAGGCAAGGACCTATATTCAAGATTATTCTATCCAGTGAAGCTTTCATTTAGAATGGAAGGGCAGATAAAGTGCTCCTCAGATAAGGTCAAGTTCAAGGAGTTCATCATCACCAAGCCTTTATTATATGAAATGTTAAAGGGACTTATTTAAGAAAAAGAAGATAAAAAATATGAACAGTGAAAGGACAGCAAACTCACAGTTATTAACAACCACACCTAAAACAAAAACAAAAACAAACTAAGCAAACAACTACAACAGGAACAGAATCACAGAAATGGAGATCACATGGAGGGTTATTAACAGGGGAGTGGGTGGGGAGAGAGAAGGAAATGGTATAGAGAATAAGTAGCATAAGTTGTATGAAGAAGATAGATAGGGGAGGTTAAGAATAGCATAGGAAATGTAGAAGCCAAAGAATATATATATGACCCACAGACATGAAGTAAAGGGAGGGAATGAAGATTGGAGGGGGTGTGCAGGTTGGAGGGGAATGAAGGGGGGGAAATGGTACAAGTGTAATAGCATAATCAATCAAATATATTTAAAATAATAAAATAAAATAAAATAAAATATAAAAGAAGGTTGCCAAAATGCTAAAAAAATCCTAATATAAAAAGATCATAACAAAAAATACATTTAAAGTACAGTACATATTTATTGAAACAAATGTGTCTATAAGTGGACCTGTGCAGTTCAAACTTACCCATTATCTTCCAGGTCTGACTCAATTTTTCAATTTCCCATTCTTCCAGGATCTTCATGATATTTGACTCTTATTTCTGAAAAACATTCTTTGCCCACCAGTTTTTCTTTAAATCACCAAACTCAAATTTGAAAAATCTATTCAGTGTAGTTAGTCATGTCTTATATTGCATTTATGTGAAATTATAGCTAAAGTGATGAACTATAGCCTTAATTGATTTTACCCTCTAAGGCAGTACTATTTTTGGCTATAACTCCTTCTATGTATAGTTTTTTGATTGTTTGAAAATACAATGGACCTAGATTACATGTATTATAAAAACAAAGGGACCTAGGAAATCAGACAGTGTGTTTTGCTGTGGTAGCAACAAACTTGTGTGTGACAATATCAGGATTGCATTTGACTTGTATTCACTAGGAGGATATGAAGGAGCTGACTGAACTATGCTGTAGTTGGCACCTTGGTTACATGAAGAAATATAGAAATTATGGGCTTATATGAGGAATTTATAGGTAGGAATAGAATCATAGCAACTGAGTCGTATATTACTACTGCCAGGAGAAATGCACAGAAATGGAAGATTATTGTATTCCATACTATATATAGAATAATCTGAGATTGTACATACAAATAAAATACCTTTCTTGATCATTCATGCCTTCTTTAAAAGATAATTATTGCGTCATGACTAATGTGGTTTAGTGGATTGAGCACTGGCCTGCAAACCAAAGGGTCAATGGTTCAATTCCCAGTTATGGCATGTGCCTGGGCTGTAGGCCAATTCCCTGGTGGGGTATGTGTGAGAAGCAACCACACATTGATGTTTCTCTCCTTGACTCCTTCCCTTTCCCTCTCTCTAAAAAATAATTAAAATTTAAAAAAGAGAGATAATTATTGAGCAACCATTATGTGCCAGACTAAGGATACAGCTTTATGCTTTCATGCAGTTTATTGTTTGGAGTAAAATGGATTGTGTTTCTCTGTAAGGTCAAAGGGCAGGGATCATGTTTCTTATATATCCTCATTAGTTTGTTAGGGCTGCCACAACAAAATACACAGACTAGGTGGCTTAAACCACGGAAATTTATTTTCTCAATTCTACAGGCAATGTCCAAGATCAAGATGTTGGCAAGTTGGTTTCTTCTGAGGGTTCTTTCCTTGGCTTGGAGACAGCCACAATCTCATTGTGTTTTCACACAATTTTTCCTCTGTGTGCACACCATTGTATCTTTGTGTGTCCAAATTTGTTTTTCATATGAGGATACCAGTCAGATTAGATTAGGGCCCACCCTAATTACCTCATTTGACTTAATCATCTCTTGAAAGACCTTATGTCCACTTGCAGTCACATTCTGAGGAACTGGGGCTTAGGGCTTCAATATATAAATTTTGGGGGCAGGGGTAAAATACAGCCCATAACAATCACCCAGCATGAATAATCAGCTGTGAACCTGTTACTTTTCCCTGTGTAAGAATATTCTTCATACTACTATGAAGTATTCCTTCAACAGTCTGCAATGGAGCCCTGCCTCCTGTTTCATGAAGCTGGACACTGGTTTGAACTCACTATCCACACCAATAGCCAAGGGCACACAATGGCCATCATTACTTTCCATTCCCAGGAATTAACGCAGGTGAGACTTGCAGGATGATGAGAAGCTTCTGTAGCAATCATGCTGCAGTTGATTTTTGGAAGTTTCAAGGCAGATAGCAGAAACTACACATCCACAGAATATCTGCGTAGGATAGGAAGAGGGACTTGGGGTTAGAAAGAGGAGATGGCAAATATACTCTTTAACCATACTGCTGGCATAATCAAAACATGAGGACTGAGGTGAGGTTTTGAAGTTAATTATCATATGAGGACCCCTAAAGGTTTTCACAAGAACTTTGCCTATGGAAGTTAGTGGATGCTCTGTGAAATCCAAAAACCAATTTAATAGAGATTAGAATGTAAGTCAGAATTGAAATTCTTATGCATAACCCAAATGATACTTGATATTTGTAAAGAACATGGAGCTATCAAATATTCACACATTAAAACATTCCTATACTTATGTGATCATCTCAACAGACTTGTGAAGTAGATGGGAGGAGGTTATTGTTATCCTCATTTTTGAGATGCGCAAGTGGAGGCATAAAAGTACCCAAGATTAAAAAGCCAGGAAATAGCCAAGCTAGGGCTTAAATCTTCATTGATTCCTAGCTTTTTAACTCTGTAGCTCCAACATAGTTTATTGTGATTTATCCCTATCAAGCTAATGGTTATGCTCTCTGTAGTGATGTAGGAATTTTAAAAATGTTCATTCTCTTCCTAGCACTTTTCTTTTCACCTAGCACTTGTGTTCTCTGAGGTGTTGTTTGGGTGGGTGAGAGGTATGATGTTTGAGGTGGAGCAGTATGATGAGAATCAAAATGTTATTGCTTCTTGATGGGACAAAAGCTCAATTTAGCTCCTGTTAACAAGAATAACTCACATTTTCCTTAGAGAATGTGCTTTCTTTTTTTTAATCCTCACTTGATATATTTTTATCACTTGATATATATCCTCACTTGATATATACTTTATCCTCACTTGATATATTTTTTATTGATTTTAAAGAGAGAGGAAAGGGGGGAGAGAGATACAGAGACAGAGAGACAGAGAGATGCGAGACAGAAACATCTACTGGTTGCCTCCAATACATGCCCTGACTGCAGATAAAACCTATAACCTAGGTATGTGCCCCGACCAGGCATCAAACAGCAACCTTTTGGTGTATGGGATGATGCTCCAACCAACTGAGACACCTGGCCAGGGTAGAAATGTGCTTTCTTATTTTACTACTGCAGAGCTGAGTACTGTAGAGCTAGGAGAGGAAATTTGCAGAGATGAGTCTTTGCTTGACTCCTGATTTTGTGGTCTGGGCAGAAGGAGTTCTGTGTTCAGAAGGAGACTGTAGAGGAGTTTTTCATCAAAGGGTCAGGGGTATCCTGTGACTTGACATCACTTTACTTCCAGAAAAGGTAATCCTGGGACAGCCAAGCAGCAAGCAGGAAACTGATGGCTTGCCATAGTCTGGGCTGTGGATTGCTGAAGTAGGGATGGTGTTAATGGAAGACCTGGGCTAAGTGGGATTGGCCTTTATACATGACCCAGGTCCAGGAACCCAGGCCAGACTGTAGATGAGAGTGTCTGCATGTACCTCTGTACTCTGGGAACTCTTTCAGAGCTCTCAGGGCCATGCAATGGATGGTTTGTCTCCTAGATGAGATGCTGGAACCTTCCCCTCCAACCAACCACTAGATATATAATGGTCTGCAATTCCAAATGCTTTCTTCTTTATTCTTTTCCAGCACCATGACCCATTGTAGCCATCAGCAGTCTCCCTTCCAGCTCCTGTTTGGGGAACTCCATATCTTTGATGAGCTCTTGGCCTTGAAGATCCACATCTCTCCAGATGCCTTTTTCCAGATTAACACTGCTGGTGGAGAGATGCTGTATTGGAGTGTGGGGAAGCTGAGTGGAGTGAATTCTAGCACCATCCTCCTTGACATCTTGTAAATAGCAGCCCAGGGCTGAATCTACATACTGCTTAGCTCCCAGATTCTATTCACCCAGCAGCTAGTGTCCTGGATGGGGAGGTGATGGTCGTGGTGCAGGCATAGCCTCATTAGCTTAAAACCCTAAAATACTCTCCTCTTTTTTCTCTCTTACTTCCCCAATCATAATTGGCCTTTCTCTCACTCAGTATACCTCCCTGGTCCTTGCAATTGAGTTGATGGAGCAGGCAGTAGAGAATGCCAGGTGGACTGCAGCCTTCAATGGTACATTGCTTACAATCTGGGGAGAAATCAAGAGCTGCAATTATTTCTGTGCTATGAGAAGAGTTGTGTGGGAAATGGCATCCACTATATCTATGACCTGTGGGGAGGAAGGGGTGGTGTTCTGGAGTAGTCAGAGTTGGGTCCTGATGATTTTCTGAAAGAGATCCAAATAACTAATCTTTTTTTTTCTATCCAGAAGAAGACCCAGTGGCACCTAATTAACTGATAGAAAGCTTAACTGATAAGAAGGTAAGTTAGCAAAATTTTGGATAATATAGAAGAACCTTCTTGACATTTGTCTCATGAGGCACTATATCATAATACAATGTAATAGGTTTCAAACTATTTTTAACAACAACCTTTTCTTCAAACAAAATCTCATTACAGGACTTCCAGCTAAGATGGAGGCATAGGTGGAAATACTGTACCTCCTTGCACAACCAAATTTAAGTACAACAAAGATTTAGAAACAAAAACACAACCAGAACAGACAGAAAATTGAACTGTATGGAAGTCTGACAACAACGAACCATTTATTCAGACCAGTAAGAGGGGCAGAGTCAGTGGCCGGTGGAGGGGGGTCATGGCAGGGAAAAGCAGTGGCTGCTGGACCAACCCAGGTGTGCAGGCAGCAGTTGGAAGATCCCAGGCATGGGGTGGCAAAGGGCAGACCCAGTGAGGGTGCAAGGCGGCTGGCTGATGACAGTCACACATTCACGTGCAGATAAACCAGGTGAAAAAAAAACAAACAGTGAGACAGACTGTGCAACACAGGACCCCAGCTCTGGGAAATAAAGCCTAAAAGCACTGATTGAAAAAACTTTCGGGGGTTGAGGTGCCAGGAGAGACTCTCAGCCTCCCAGGAGAGTTTGTTGGAGAGACCCACAGGGTCCTAGAACTTACACAAGCCCACCCACCCAGGAACCAGCACCAGAAGGGCCCAATTTCCTTGTGGGAAGTGGCAAAGGGGACCAAAATCTGAGAGCAAAATAAACACCATTTCTCCTTCTCTAACCCCGCCCCCAGTCACAACCCAGAGACTGGATTGACCCACCCCGGTGAACACCTAAGCTTTCCCCCCCCCATACATAACAGGTGTGAACAGACCAAAACATGGCTCAAGCAGAAGAACAACTCAAAGCCTGAGAGCCAATACTTCTAAGCGACAAAGAGGTAGCCAACCTATTGGATGCACAGTTCAAAACACTGGTGATCATGATGCTCACAGAACTGGTTGATTTTAGCTGCAAATTAGATGAAAAAATGAAGGCCACATTAAGTGAAATGAAGCAAAATGCACAGGGAACCAATAGGGATGGAAAGGAAATTGGGACTCAAATCAAAGGAGTGGACCAGAAGGAAGAAAGAAACATCCAACAAGAAAAGAATGAAGAAACAAGAATTCACAAAAATGAGGAGAGGCTTAGGAACGTTCAGGACATCTTTAAACATTTCAACATTCAAATTATAGGGGTACCAGAAGGGGAAGAGGAACAGCAACAAATGGAAAACTTATTTGAACAAATAATAAAGGAAAACTTCCCCAATCTGGCAAAGGAAATAGACTTCCAGGAAATCCAGGAAGCTCAGAAACTCCCAAAGAAGTTGGACCCAAGAAGGAACACACCAAGGCACATCATAATTACATTAGCCAAGATTAAAATGAAGGAGGGAGTCCTAGAAGCAGCAAGAGATAAAGGAGGGGGCAGTCACCTACAAAGGAGTTCCCATCAAACTGTCAGCGGATTTCTCAAAAGAGACCTTACAGGCAAGAAGGGGCTGGAAAGAAGTATTCCAAGTCATGAAATCCAAAGACCTATATCCAAGATTGATCTATCCAGCAAAGCTTTCATTTAGAATGGAAGGATAGATAAAGTGCTTCTCACATAAGGTGAAGTTCAAGGAGTTCATCATCATCAAGCCCTTATTATATGAAATCTTAAAGGGACTTATCTAAGAAAAAGAAGATAGAAAAGATGAACAGTGAAAGGATAGCAAATGCAGTTATTAACAACCACATCTAAAACAAAAGCAAGCTAAAAGGACAGCTAGATCAGGAGCAGAACCATAGAAATGAAGATCTCATGGAGGGTTAGCTACAGGGGAGTGGGAGGAGAAGGGGGGAGAAGGTACAGAAAATAAGTAGCATAGATGGTAGGTAGAAAATAGATAGGGGGAGGGCAAGAGTAGTATGGGAAATATAGAATCCAAAGAATTCGAGACACATGGTCATAAACTAAAGGGGGGGAATGGTAGGGGTGGGGGGTGCCGTGTGGAGGGGAATGAAGGGGAGGAATAGAACAACTGTAATGGCATAATCAATAAAATAAAAACTAAAAAAAAAGATGAACAGTGAAAGAACAGCAAACTCACAGTTATTAACTACCACACCTAAAACAAAAGCAAACTAAGCAGACAGCTAGATCTGGAGCAGAACCACAGAAATGGAGATGACATGGAGGGTTAGCAACAGGGGAGTGGGAGGAGGAGAAGGGGTAGAAGGTACAGAAAATAAGTAGCATAGACAGTAGGTAGAAAATAAACAGGGGAGGCAAGAATAGTATGGGAAATATAGAATCTAAAGAATTTCACACATGGACATGAACTAAAGAGGGGGAATGGGGGAGGGGGTGTGCAGGGGGAGGGAAATGAAGGGGGAAATGGGACTACTGTAATGGCATAATCAATAAAATATATTAAAAACAAAAAAAACAAAATTGCATCACAAACTGCAATGTAGAGAACAGATCCCTTTGTCCCCTCACCTCACACAATTCCTGAGGCTCTGCATGAAAACCTTCAATATAACACAAAGAGAACTTCAGTAAAAGTCAAGATTCTCTTCTTGGTATAGGTACTTATGTGATGTGTGAGTCATGAGGTTGTAAAATAACACTGCCTAGACTCTCAAGCTGAAAGGCCAACTGAGATATTGCAAGGGATAGCACGTTGGGAAAATGAAGCAGGTCCAAAAGCATTTTTTTCATTGTTATTCAGAGTTATGATAGATCTAAAGGAAGATGACGGAGCCCTGGCTCCTGTACATTTCTATGAAGCTGACGCTCTCTCCACCCCACTGTTGGTCATGAGCATTCATTTCTATCATGTGGTCTCTGTTTTGCAGGCATCACAGACTGTGAATTCCATGCTGATCAAGCAGAGATGTTGCCACATTGCTAAAGTCAAAGGAAGATGAGAGTTAATTGTTGCTGTGGTGAACCTAGCCCGGGTGGAACTGTGTAAGGATGAATAGTTTTCCTGCTATAGAACTAGGTGGGTGTTCCCATGGTGTCCCCCCAGCTTTAGTCCTATTCCTACACCATGATAAGGGTGCTCTCAATGGACTGGCTCTGAACCTGTTTCTCATCTATTCCTCACCAATGTTAGGTGTTGGCCAGTTGAAAGTTTGCGATAACTCAGATCATGATAGTTTAATGATAGCAATACCGGTGTCTTTCTTTTTCAGATTACCAGGTAGACCAAGCCATTTGGAACAGCAGGGCCGTCCACACTAATTTTTGTTTCCTGCAAGCTCCATGGTGAAATCACAAGGAACATCACTGAGTGAGTCTTGATGCATTTTTAAAATTGTTTTTTCATGATGATCAAAGTAATTCATGCTTATTGCATAGAATTTGAAAAATACAGAGTGCAAGGAAATAGAAAAAAGTTGTTAGATTGCTACCAAGAGTCAATCATAGGGCTGGCTCTGTCTTGGGTGAGGCAAGTAAAGGAACTCACTTTGGGTGTAAAACTTAAGGGGTGCCCCAAATCTCAGTAAGCAAGATACATTTTAATGTAACATTTTCAAAACTCAAAATAAGTACAAAAATCTTTGATAAACAAAATATTAAGATTGTTTAGAAAGGTAAGATCTATCCCTGTACTTGTTAAATCTTGCCTCATTCGACTTACCCTAATCCTGGCCCTGGTTCTAATAAAACTTTGTTTACAAAAGTAGCAGCTAGTCTGCAGGCCATACTTTTCCAATTTGATTTTCCAAAAAATGCATTAAAATATTTTGAGTCTTGATTACTGATTTTTGGCATCCTCTTACATTTTACACCCAAAGAAAATGCTTCTTGCTTCATCTCAGTTCTGGCCATGGTCAATTCTTTTTGTTTTTGAACCATTTTCTTCTTTTAATCTCTCTCTTTTTCTCCTCCCTCTTTTTCTATAAGTAATACAATTTATTTGTAATATTCAAACCATATAATATAAAGTACAGATGATATGACTGGATAAAACAAGTGTGATTTAAAACTAACTGAATTGAAGGGATTAAGCAAAAAAAAGAAAAATAAGCCTCATAGTCACAGACAAACATTGTATCTACCAGAGGGAAAAGGGGTGGGGAGCTAGAAGAGGATAAGGGGGGGATAAATGGTGATGGAAGGAGACTTGACTTGGGGTGGTGATGACACAATACAATATGCAGATGATATATTAATATTATAGAATTGTGCACCTGAAACTTATATAATTTTATTAACCAAAGTCACCCCAATGAATTCAATAAAAATATTTTAAAACTGAAAATAAAATAAAAGTAAATGAGCCCTGACTGGTGTGTCTCAGTGGATCAGGTGTTGTCCCTCAAACTGAAAGGTCACCTGTTCGATTCCCAGTCAGGATACAAGCCTGGGTTGTGGGCCAGGTCCCCATTTGGGGGCATGCAAGAGGCAATCAGTCGATGTTTCTCTTGCACATCTATGTTTCCCTCTCTCTTTGTCTCCCTCTCTTCCCCCTCTAAAGAGAAATAAAATCTTAAAAAAATAAAAAATAAAAATAAATGAATTGAGCTTTCAAGTCAATTAACTAGAAAAAGAACAATAAGCCTAAAGGAAAGTGAAGGAAATCAATAATGTTAAAAAATCCAGAAATTAATCAACTACAAACAAATACAAAACAAAAACATGTAGACTTGACAAATAAACAAGAAGGTGTTATTGAAAGAAGCAAACAAAATAGATATATAAACCTAATAAAGAATATAACAGAATAAAATGTAAAAATATAAAATGTTAAGTGAGAAAATAAGTGTAACTATAATTATGAAGACATTTAAAAAAATGATCAGAAAGTACTTTGTACAACTCCCTTGTAATACATTTGCAAAGCTAGATGAGTGTTTTTCTGGAAAAAATGAAAATGGTGAATACTAATTCTAGAAGATAGTAAATGTAAATAGACTAGTAGTCATGGAAACAAAATTGGGGAAGATGTGAAAGACCTCCTTCTACCCAAATAATAGCATGGGGCCTATTTGTTTTCAGAGTCTTATTTCCTTGTCTATTCGTGCACATTTACACTTCCATTTGTACTTTATTTTACTTTATTATACTGTTTAAATTTTTAAACTGTTTTTATTGATTATGCTATTACAGTTTTCCCAATTTTACCCCCTCTATCTCCCCTATGCCCTGCCCCCACAAACCCCCAGCATTGCTCCCCTTAGTTCACGTCCATGGGTTGTACATATAAGTTCTTTGAGTCCTCTGTTTCTCATACCATTTTTATTTTTCCCTGTCTACCTTATGCCTACTAACCATGCTTCACCTTTTCCCCCTTATTTCTCCCTTCCCCCTTCCCACTGAAATTCCTCCATGTGATGACCATTTCTCTGCTTCTGTTCCTGTTCTGGTTGTTTGCTTAGTTTTTGTTTTCATTGTTTTTCTTTTCTTTTAGGTTCATTCATTTGTTGATAGTTGTGAGTTTGTTGTCATTTTACTGTTCATATTTTTGATCTTCTCTTTCTTAGATAAGTCCCTTTAACATTTCATATAATGATGGCTTGGTGATGATGAACTCCTTTAACTTGACCTTATCTGGGAAGCACTTTATCTGCCCTTCCATTCTAAATGAAAGCTTTGCTGGATAGAGTTATCTTGGATGTAGGTCCTTGCCTTTCATGACTTCAAAATACTTCTTCTAGCCCCTTCTTGCCTATAAGGTTTCTTTTGAGAAATCAGCTGAGAGTCTAATGGGAACTCCTTTGTAGGCAACTCTTCCCTTTTCTCTTGCACCTTTTAAGATTCTCTCCTTGTCTTTAATCTAGGGTAGCCTAATGATGATGTGCCTTGGTGTGTTCCTCTTTGGTTCCAACTTCTTGGGGACTCTGGGTTTCCTGGGATTCCTGGAAGTCTATCTTTTTCACAAGATTGAGGAAGTTTTCCTTCATTATTTGTTCAAATATGTTTTCAATTTCTTTCTCTTCTTCTCCTTCTGGCACCCCTATAATTTGGATATTGGAATGTTTCAAGTTGTCCCAGAGGTTTGTAAGAGTCTCTTCACTTTTTTGAATTCTTGTTTCTTCATTTTGATCTGGATGGATGTTTATTTTTTTCTTTTGTTCCAAATTGTTGCTTTGAGTCCTGGTTTCCTTCCCATCACTGTTGGCTCCTTTGAACAATCTGCTTTATTTCACTTTGGGTGTCCTTCATTTGTTTTTTCTTTTTTTGACAAAGCTCAATCAGATCTGTGACTATTATGATTACCAGGGCTTTATTATTTTTTTTTCACGCAAATGTTTCATTGGGGAATGCGACTCCAGGACAGCAAGAATAAGGGAGGAAGGAGTGTGAGGAAGAGAGAGGGTGCAACCTTATTGCACTGGCCACAGCTTCAGAAGAAGACACAGCTGGCATTTTCATCACCCAGGATGTCTCCAGATAGGCTGTTTAGAACCCCCGTACCTTTCTTTTTCTTTTTTTTAAATTTTATTTAGTTATTTTTCAAGTATAGTTTTTTGTCAGTTTCTCCCATCCCAGCCTCCCACCCCATGTTCCCCACCTCCCTCCCATTTCCTCCCCCCATAGTCCTCATCCCTGTGTCCTTCATACATGTTCCTTCAAATCCCTCCCCTTTTTCCCCCTTAAATTCCCTTCCCTCTCCCCTCTGGTCACTGTCCCCTTGTTTTCTATTTCAGTGTCTTCGTTTTTATTCTGCTTGCTGGTTTGTTTTGTTGTTTAGCTTCCTGTTAAAGGTGAGATCATATGGTATTTGTCTTTCCACACCTGGCCTATTTCACTCAGCATAATGCTTTCCAGTTCCATCCATGTTGTTGCAAAGGGCAGTAGCTCCTTCTTTCTCTTTGCTGCATAGAATTCCATTGTGTATATGTACCACAATTTTTTGATACATTCATTTACTGATGGGCACCTAGGTTGCTTTTATCTCTTGGCTATTGTAAATTGTGCTGCTATGAACATTATGGTGCATAGGTTCTTTGATGTTGATGTTTTAGGATTCTTAGGATATAATCCTAGCAGTGGAATTGCTGGGTCAAAAGGCAGGTCGATTTTTTATTTTTTCTGAGAAAATTCCATACTGTTTTCCATAATGGTTGTACCAGTCTGCAATCCCACCAACAGTGAACTAAGGACCCCCTTTTCCCCACACCCTCTCCAACATTTGTTGTTTGTTGCTTTGTTTATGATAGCCATCCTGACCAGTGTAAAGTGGTATCTCATTGTGGTTTTAATTTGCATCTCTCTGATAGCTAACAATATTGAGCATCTCTTCATGTGTCTCTGGATATTCTGTATGCCCTCCTTGGAGAAGTGTCTGTTCAAGTCCTTTTCCCATTTTTTAATTGGGTTAGATGTCTTCTTAGAATGGAGTCATGTAAGTTCTTTGTATATTTTGGAGAATAAACCTTTGTCTGAGGTATCATTGGCAAATATGTTTTCCCATACAGTTGGTTCTCTTTTTATTTTAATACTGTTTTCTTTAGCCACACAAAAGCTTTTTATTTTGATGAGATCCCATTTGTTTATTCTTTCCTTTATATTCCCTGCTCTAGGGGACATATGTGTAAAAATGTTGCTGTGTGAAGAGATTTTCTTGCCGATGTTCTCCTCTAGGACTTTAATGGTGTTACAGCTTATATTTAAGTCTTTTATCCACCTTGAATTTATTTTGGTGTATGGTGTAAGTTGGTGCTCAAGTTTCATTTTTTTGCACGTAGCTGTCCAGTTCTTTTATTTGGGCCCTATTTCTTTGTCTTGGTGCAGCTGATAGGTTGTCAAGGGGTGGAGCCTTAGGTATTCACCCTAGTGGGGGCAACCGTCTACGCTGTGGTGCTGCCTGTGGGGGAGGTACCAGAGAGGGAACTGCGTGGCTTGCCTGCTCATATCTAGTACATTTTTCAACAGACTCTCAGACTCTCCTGTGATAATGGGAGCTTTTCCTACCATGGCAACCCCAGCCATAGTCCACAGCCACCTCTGAGTCCCCTTAAGTCAGCCCCTTCCACACAGCCCGCTGAATTGGGCAGCCATCCCTGACCACAATGTCCATGTGTTGCCATGGTTTTTCTGAGTCAGCCACCTTACACATCTGGTTGTTCTGGTTGATTTTTTCCTTAATTCCTTGGTTGTTGGAGTTCCATGCAGTTTGATTTTCTGGTGTTTTTGGTTGTTTATTGATTTCAGATTGGTTGTTGTCCTCCTTTTGATTGTGTGAGTAAGTGAAGGGTTTCTACTTATGCCTCCATCTTGGCTAGAACTCTAAATTTTTTTTGAATATATAGTAAAGGTGGAACCTAAAATCAATGGGCAAAAGATG